GAGAGCAGGTTCACCCCGAGCACATGTGACAGACGTGAAAGGGTCTGGAGAAGCCATGGAGAATGTTCTGCTGCCTGTAACATCGTTCAGCATGACTGTTGTGTGCGGAGGGTCAGTGATGGTCTGGGGAGGCAAATCCATGGAGGGACGCACAGACCTCTACAGGCTATACAATGGCACCCTGACTGCCATTAGGTATCGGGATGAAATCCTTGGACCCATTGTCAGACTCTATGCTGGTGCAGTGGGTCCTGGGTTCCTCCTGGTGCAGTGGGTCCTGGGTTTCTGCTGATGCATGATAATGCCCGGCCTCATGTGGGGAGAGTATGCAGGCAGTTCTTGGAGGATGAAGGAATTGATACCATTGAATGGCCCCCATGCTCACGTGAACTAAATCCAATAGAACATCTCTGGGATGTCATGTTTTGGTCCATCCGACCCAGGTTGCACCTCAGACTGTCCAGGAGCTCAGTGATGCTCTGGTCCAGATCTGGGAGGAAATCCCTCAGGACACCATCCGTCAACTCATTAGGAGCCTCCCCGGACGTTGTCAGGCATGCATACAAGCACGTGGGGGCCATACAAGCTTGTTGCATCAGCTATCAGACGGAGATCTGTGTGCATGTGGTGGCCCAGCAGACCAATCTGTGAACAAACTGTTGGGTGGTGGCAAGCTACCGTTTGTTGTGTTTCTGTGTGGCGGTGTGTGGACAGTGGAAGAGTGATTAACACTGGGGGTTCTAGCTTGTAGGATAGCTAGAGGAATCTTAGAAAGGTGTGCCAATTGCTAGACTGCTCCCCAAAGTGCACAAGACTGTACGTAAGATTCATATCTGCCTGTGTGTGGTCAGCCAGTTAGATTGGAGTGGAGTCTCCCTCTAGTGATGGCCAGAGTCAGTGCGGGCTGTGAAAGTGTATCGCGGCCAGTCTTATATGCTCAAAGTCTTCCTCATTCCCTCTTTACCCCCAGTCATGGATGGACCACGCCTCGGTTAGCTAGTCGCTGTGGGCATGCAGTTTTTATACACTCCCTCATCATATCACGACTCGATTACTGAAACTCCCTCCTTACTGGCCTGCCTCGCCGCTGGCTATCCCCGCTTCAGTCCATCCTGAATACGGCTGCACGACTCATTCACCTTTCCAACCGATCCATCTCCGCCACCCCCCTCTGCCAATCCCTCCACTGGCTTCCGATTGCGCAACGGATCAAATTCAAAATCCTAACACTGACGTACAAAGCTGTCCACCATACTGCCCCGTACTACATCACTGACCTAATATCCAAGTACCACCCAACACGCACACTCCGCTCCTCACAAGACCTCCTTCTCTCTAGTTCCCTGGTCTCCTCCTCCCATGCCCGCCTCCAGGACTTCTCCAGGGTGTCACCCATTCTCTGGAACTCCCTGCCCCAACCCATCAGATTATCACCTACTCTCCTCTCCTTTAGGCGCACCCTGAAAACCCATCTCTTCAGGGAAGCCTACCCACCCCCTGCTAACTTGCCGACCTCCTCCACTCTTCCTACCACTCCATCCCCCACAGCTATCTCCTCCTGTGCCACATCCCCTCCCTCCTAGATTGTAAGCTCCAAAGAGCAGGGCCCTCAATCCCCTCATGTTTTGCATTGTATTGGTATTGTTCTGTCACATGTTCTGTCCCCCTTTGTAATGTACAGCGCTGAGCGAACTATTGGCGCTTTATAAATACTGTATAATAATAATAATAATGACATATGGTTTTCCAGATTATCATCTCTAGTGTTTCCCTGTACCAAGTCAGCTCTAGCCTGCATGGGTGCACTCTCTAGGCACACATCTGAACAGAGGGTTCACAATTCCAACCATTCAGGATAACTCCATTCATGACAAAAATAATGACAGGAAAACTGTAGATCTTTGACAATCACATCAGTAAATTCTTGGACTGTGTGATCAGCAGACCTCTCCCCTCCGTCCACTCCCTCTGGTTCTGCACACAGAGATATCTCAGTAAACCCTCCTCTGACCCCCTCCCTTCTGACACACATCTACTTAGTTTCGTTTTCTCTCTCCTGCAGTCAGGGATGGCGTTTTCTGATGCGAGGAAGGAGCTGGATTGTTCCATCTGTCTGAACATTTATACCAATCCTGTGATGCTGAAATGTGGACACAACTTCTGTTCGGACTGTATAGATTGTGTTCTCGATACACAGGAGCGATCTGGAGTTTATTGCTGTCCTGAATGCAGAGAAGAGTTCCAGGACCGGCCTGAACTTAGCAGGAACATAACACTGCGCAACATAGTGGAGAATATCCAATCTACCGAGCCAGAGAAGAAGAACCAAAACCAGATCTGTACGTACTGCATTCACTCTCCTGTACCTGCTGTTAAATCTTGTCTTCACTGTGAAGCTTCTCTGTGTGATGACCATCTGAGAGTCCACAGCAAGTCATCCCAACATGTCCTATCTGACCTCACCTCTCCCCAGAAGAGCAGGAAATGCTCCGTCCATGAGAAGATCCTGGAGTATTACTGCACCAAGGACTCAGCCTGTCTCTGTGGGTCCTGCAGGCTACATGGAGACCATCAGGAACACCAGGTGGAGACACTGGAGGAGGCCACTGAGAAGAGGAAGGAGAACCTGACCAATGCTATGCAGGAGTTGATGAAAAAGAGAGAGGAGATGGAAGAAAGCATCAAGAGTCTGCAGAAGTACAAAATAAAAGTACAAGACAGTGCAGATGGTGTAACTAAGAGAGTCACCGCCATATTCAAAGACATCAAAAGACAACTGGACATCCTGGAGAGGAAAGTTCTTAAAGAGATAACCAGGAAGGCAGAGAGAGTGTCATTCCCAGCCTCTGATTTAATCCAGGAGCTGGAGATAAAGAAGGACGAGCTGTCCAGGAAGATACGTCACATTGAGGAGATATGTAACATGACGGATCCACTGAGTGTCTTACAGGAATCAGACTCAGGTGACTTGTGTGATACTGAGGATGGAGATAAGAAGCACAAAGACAGACATGATAAACTCCTCCATGGTGGGGGTGATATGGATGTGACTAGGATTTTGCACCTATTACATACAGGATTATTTGAGATAATAACAGAGGTAAATAAAGGGACAAATATACCAGAACCTGCAGATATAACACTGGATGAAGACACGGCTCAGAATAATCTATGTATTTCAGATGAAGGGAAGACTGTACGCAAGGTAGCCAGAAATCTAAATCGCCCTGAAATACCAAAGAGATTTATAGGAATAGCAATACAGGTGTTGAGCAGTCAGAGTTTTTCCTCAGGGAGACTTTACTGGGATGTGGATGTTGGGGGATCATCACACTGGAGAGTCGGGATGTGTTACCCCAGTATAGAAAGGACACAAAACTATGCAGACATTGGAAATAATTATGTGTCCTGGTGTCTGGAGAAGACCTCTAAAAAGTTATTAGCAAGGCATGGCTTCAGTTTTAACCACAAAACTTTAGTTGGTAATTTTTCACTGACCAACATCAGAATAAATCTGGATTATGAGGCGGGGACGATTTCTTTTTTCGAGTTGGGTATCCCGATCCGACACCTCCACACCTTTACAGACATCTTCACCCAACCGATCCATGCTGCGTTATATGTAGGCGAAGGTTGTATAAAAATTCATAAATGGAATCAGGAGGTGTGACAAATTTACTCCAAGACTGGTGACATGGCAGTCTGACTGGTGCGCTTAGGGTCATATATAATCCATACGTCTCAAAAATGATAATCAAGCGAGCGCTATTTAGACTAAATGAATAAATAAATAAATACCGTATTTGCTGGCGTATAAGACGACCCCTACTTTTCCTGCTAAAATGTAGTGTTTGGGCTATACTCGCCGTATAAGACTACCCCTCTTCCAATGCACACCAGTGAAGGAATAGTGCCCCATCATTGGTATCAGTGGGAGGAATAGTGTCCCATCATTGGTATCAGTGGAGGAATAGTGCCCCATCATTGGTGTCAGTGGGAGGAATAGTGCCCCATCATTGGTATAGTGGCAGGAACAGTGCCCCATCATTAGTATCAGTGGGGGGAATAGTGCCCCATCATTGGTGTCAGTGGGAGGAATAGTGCCCCATCATTGGTATCAGTGGGAGGAATAGTGTCCAATCATTGGTATCAGAGGGAGGAATAGTGCCCCATCATTGGTATCAGTGGGAGGAATAGTGCCCCATCATTTGTATCAGTGGGAGGAATAGCGCCCCATCATTGGTATCAGTGGGAGGAATAGCGCCCCATCGTTGGTATCAGTGGGAGGAATAGTGCCCCATCATTGGTATCAGTGGGAGGAATAGCGCCCCATCGTTAGTATCAGTGGGAGGAATAGCGCCCCATCGTTGGTATCAGTGGGAGGAATAGCGCCCCATCGTTGGTATCAGTGGGAGGAATAGTGTCCCATCATTGGTATCAGTAGGAGGAATAGTGCCCCATCATTGGTATCAGTGGGAGGAATAGTGTCCCATCATTGGTATCAGTGGGAGGAATAGTGCCCCATCATTGGTGTCAGTGGGAGGAACAGTGCCCCATCATTGGTATTAGTGGCAGGAACAGTGCCCCATCATTAGTATCAGTGGGGGGAATAGTGCCCCATCATTGGTGTCAGTGGGAGGAATAGTGCCCCATCATTGGTATCAGTGGGAGGAATAGTGTCCCAACATTGGTGTCAGTGGGAGGAATGGTGTCCCATCATTGGTGTCAGTGGGGGGTGGAATAGTGCCCCATCATTGGTGTCAGTGGGGGGTGGAATAGTGCCCCATTGTTGGTGTCAGTGGGAAGAATAGTGCCCCATCATTGGTGTCAGTGGGAGGAATAGTGCTCCATCATTGGTGTCAGTGGGGGGGGAATAGTGCCCCATCGTTGGTGTCAGTGGGGGGGGGGAGGAATAGTGCCCCATTGTTGGTGTCAGTGGGAAGAATAGTGCCCCATCATTGGTGTCAGTGGGAGGAATAGTGCTCCATCATTGGTATCAGTGACACCAATGATGGGGCACTATTCCTCCCACTGACACCAATGACACTTGCTGACCCTGTTCTAGTATGGTGCTGCTGCAGCCAGCATATGTGGTTGCAGCAGCACCTCTACACTGAACACTTACCTGCTGCTCCTGCACTCGATTTTCGCGGGGCTGCTCGGCTCTGCCCCCTCACCGGTGATTGGCCGCCTGTGTGCCTTTCCTGAGCTGCAGTTCTGGCGGCCAATCACCGGTTAGGAGGCGGAGCCGAGCAGCCGCGCGAACATCCAGTGGCCGAACTGAAGGAGCAGCTGCGCTTCCTGGACCGGATCGTCGTGGGACCGGAGCCAGGTAAGAAACAGCCCCTGCCCACCCCTGTACTTAGTGTCCCTTCCGTTGGAAGGGGGGGGGGGCGGCGGCGGCACCCCTAAAAAGTGTCAGTATGCTGTATACCGGCTTTTGAGAAGATTTTCAAGGGGTAAAAAGTTGTCTTATACGCCGGAAAATACGGTAAATACAATAAAAACAGCTTGCAAAAGGAAAAAAAACTCTAAATCCTTGAAATCATCTATATCATAATTGCAGCGCTAAAAACAATAAATCAGATCTGAATAGCAATGTAAAGTGACAAGTGATATTTAAAGCGCTAACAATGAGCGCAACAAAGTGACAATAGTGCGTCGTCCTATATTGGACGAATATCAGTGACATAAACGCATAACATAAATGTACAGCAGTCCACAAATTAACTTCCCTTAAACTTATCTTTTATGTATATTGTTACTTTATATTGCTATTCAGATCTGATTTATTGTTTTTAGCGCTGCAATTATGATATAGAATCCATACGTCTTTAAAGACTTTCTATGTTAGTCACCAGCATGTCAGATTTTGAATGGCTGTTCCCAGCATGCCTTCATGAACATGTCTAAACAAGCAGTGCAATGTGGTTTTATTAAAAGAAAAACTCATGTTTTTTATTAAACAGGTAGTCAAAGTAACTAATACATAATCCATATTATAATTGAATGGTATTACAAGTGAATAGAATGCCTAGAGCTGCCTCTACCTACATTTCCAACTGTCTCTTTTGTGTGGTTAAGGCAACAGTATCATGTTTATGGACAATATTATACAGAGCTTTCATATTATTTCTTTTGAATGTGCTCACTGCTTTGCTCAGAAGCTGGCATAGAGCTGGAGGTTCAATGACAGACAACCTCTGCAGAGGTTTAGCATTGGTGCTCCCTTTCTGGTGGACTAACTGCAATGAATTATTTATGTTGGAAAGGGACGGCTAATTTAGGGATAATTATGGTTGGCAGACCCTTTCAGTTACCACCAGGGGCGGACTGATTATTTAGGCACTTGGGCACTGCCCGAGGGCCCGGGGTCAGTAGGGGCCCCATGAGATGCCCCTGATACCTTTCATAGGCTTTTTTGGGTGTGGTTTGAGTGTGGGTGAGGACACATGGGCCCCATGATTTCCTATTGCCCAGGGGCCCCATGAGTTGTCAGTCCACCCCTGGTTACCACACACCTTTACTGAAAATGCAGCAGTCCCTTCTCTATATCTACAGAACAGGAGCAGATAAGAATCTCCAGTAACACCTGATACATTGATTTTAAATGCATAGAGCTGACCCAGGTGAGATTGTTTCTAAAGCCAATGCCTGTTATTTTCAAAGTAAACCTGTCGCTTTCTCCATTCAGGGCAAAGTAAATGGGTTCTCTTATATCTCACCTTCCCTGCTACTAATACTTTCCTTCCACCTCCCTGCTACTAGTTACTTTGCCTTGATTGTATCCCAACAAGTATGAATATTCTAATATATCCCCATTATAGACCATTCTGGTACAGTGTATCCTTATCATAAAAATCCATACTTCACTATGTCACTATTCTGATGTATCATTGTTATGAACTATTCTGTTACAATGTATCATTCCATTGATTTGTCACTATTCCAAAGTATTATTATTATTATGAACAAATACTGCTCTGCTGTATAACTATTATAATTTAACACTATTAATGGGAACAGGTATTCCAACAAATCACTATTATTATCTCTGATCTAATGTGTCACTATTAATATCTCTGATTTAATGTATCACTATTATTATCACTAATCTAATGTGTCACTATTATTATCTCTGATCTAATGTATCACTATTATTATCACTGATCTATTGTATCACTATTATTATCACTGATCTATTGTATCACTATTATTATCTCTGATCTAATGTATCACTATTATTATCCCTGATCTAATGTATTATTCTCTCTGATCTAATGTATTATTATCACTGATCTAATGTGTCATTATTATTATCACTGATCTATTGTATCACTATTATTATCACTGCTATAATGTATCACTATTATTATCACTGATCTATTGTATCACTATTATTATCACTGATATAATGTATCACTATTATTATTTCTGATCTAATGTATCATTATTATTATTATCACCGATCTAATGTATCACTATTATTATCACTGATCTATTCTATCACTATTATTATCACTGATCTATTGTATCACTATTATTATCACTGATTTAATGTATCACTATTATTATCACTGATCTATTGTATCACTATTATTATCACTGATATAATGTATCACTATTATTATCACTGATCTATTGTATCACTATTATTATCTCTGATCTCATGTATTATTATCTCTGATCTAATGTGTCATTATTATTATCTCTGATCTATTGTATCAATATTATTATCACTGATCTATTGTATCACTATTATTATCACTGATCTATTGTATCACTATTATTATCTCTAATCTAATGTATCATTATTATTATCACTGATCTAATGTATCACTATTATTATCACTGATCTATTGTATCACTATTATTATCACTGATATAATGTATCACTATTATTATCACTAATCTAATGTGTCACTATTATTATCACTGAGCTAATGTATCACTATTATTATCACTGATATAATGTATCACTATTATTATCACTGATCTATTGTATCACTATTATTACTGATCTAATGTATCACTATCATTTATTATCACTGATCTAATATATCACTATTATTATCACTGAGCTAATGTATCACTATTAATGGTAACAGGTATTCCAATAAATCACTATTATTATCACTGATCTAATGTATCACTGTTATTATCTCTGATCTATTGTATCAATATTAATGGTAACAGGTATTTCAACAAATCATTAGTAGAAAAATAATGTATTTATGCTCGAAAGCCATCCTGTAGCAGTAAGACCACTATAGGGCAGTTTTCAAGTGGTTAAATCAGAATCAATTTGCATCAGAAAAAAAAAAAAAAAATATATATATATATATATATATGTGTGTGTGTGTGTGTGTGTGTGTGCATATTTTTGGGCAAAATGTGTGTTTTATTTTTGGAGAATATAATAAATGTAAACTGACAGTGAATTGCATCAGTCAGTGCAGGGTGGGAAGCGTGTAGTATTGGATTGTAGTACAGTGCTGTATCAGGCAGTGTAGAGTGGGGGGTGTAGTATTGGATTGTAGTACAGTGCTGTATCAGGCAGTGTAGGGTGGGGGGTGTAGTATTGGATTGTAGTACAGTGCTGTATCAGGCAGTGTAGGGTGGAGGGTGTAGTATTGGATTGTAGTACAGTGCTGTATCAGGCAGTGTAGAGTGGGGGGTGTAGTATTGGATTGTAGTACAGTGCTGTATCAGGCAGTGTAGGGTGGGGGGTGTAGTATTGGATTGTAGTACAGTGCTGTATCAGGCAGTGTAGGGTGGGGTGTAGTACTGGATTTTAGTACAGTGCTGTATCAGGCAGTGTAGGGAGGGGGGGTGTAGTATTGGATTGTAGTACAGTGCTGTATCAGGCAGTGTAGGGGGGGGGGGTGTAGTATTGGATTGTAGTACAGTGCTGTATCAGGCAGTGTAGGGTGGGGGGTGTAGTATTGGATTGTAGTACAGTGCTGTATCAGGCAGTGTAGGGTGGGGGGTGTAGTATTGGATTGTAGTACAGTGCTGTATCAGGCAGTGTAGGGTGGGGGGTGTAGTATTGGATTGTAGTACAGTGCTGTATCAGGCAGTGAAGGGTGGGGGGGGTGTAGTATTGGATTTTAGTACAGTGCTCCTTCCCCCCCAATACCCCTCTCAAAATAAATCCTCTTCCATCCACCAAATCCTCCCTCCCCAGCACAGCCCTGCAGTATGCAGGGTTTAGTCAGCACATATTTGCAAATACATGCATAAGATACAGAGCCACGTCACGGCACCCCAATATTCTGTAGTCCTAGCTCTACAAATTTTTGGAGCCCCCATAGTAGAGGCACATGTATTTAACGATTTCAATACCTGGCACTTATACCCCCTTCCTGCCCAGGCCAATTTTCAGCTTTCAGCGCTGTCGCACTTTGAATGACAATTGCGTAGTCATGCAACACTGTGCTCATTTTAAAAAAATATCATTTTTTTCCACACAAATAGAGCTTTCTTTTGGTGGTATTTAATCACAAGTGAGTTTTTGTTTTTTGCTAAATAAACTGAAATTTTTGAAAAAAAATTCCCTTTTCTTTTTTTTTGTTATACAATTTTACAAATATATAAAATTTCTTCATAAATTTAGGTCAAATGTATTCTGCTACATTTCTTTGGTGAAAATACCCCAAATTAGTGTATATTATTTAGTATATTATTTAGTCTTTAGGAAGGTTATAATCCACACAAACCATGGTATATAGATATCTGACAATCGATCAGTCATGATGTACTGACGGTCTGAAAATGCCAGCACAGTACAAATATCCAACAGATTACCCACTTTTTAAAAAATAGACAGTCCAAGGTATTTAGTAAGAGGCATGGTGAGTTTTTTAGAGGTTGCAATTTTTTATTACAATTTTGTGAAAAATTGTAGTCCAGTCCAGTACAGTGTGATTATATAACTGGTGTGGTGGTGATCAGGGGCACTGACTGATGACAGTATATAAAAAAAAATAAAAATAATAATTTAATGTTTAATTTTTTTAAAATTTTTAAAAAAATTTTCTTTTTTATCCCATTTTTTTTCTTTTTTTTTTACTATTTTTTTTTCAACACACCAAATCAATTACCAAATCAATATAATGTTACCATAGTAACGTTGAACTACTCTGGGCAAGTGATCAGGATTTTTGTTACACATTATGTTTGCTAATACCAATATATTTAATTGAGATTTGTGATTATTGTTACTGAAT